TAGATGTATGGCGGTATAACCATATTATTTTCACTGGAACTAACAAACTCAGACCATCGACGGGCAACAGCGTCAAAGGTGCGAGATATTTGGTACTCGATCGTCAATCCCTTTGATCAACAATACCAACTAGATGTCGAGTCGGCGCAAGAAATTCATCTCAGTAAAGAAGAGCGCACATGAGACGTGAGCTCTTGCACGTGAGAGTGTAGCTCGCAAGGCAATAACGGGAAAAAGAACTTTATTTGTTATAACTTAAGGTTGATTTCAAACTAAATGTTATTTAATTTATGTCTTTTCATAGTTTATATTCATGCGGACCGTATTTAGCTATGATTTTGTACGTCACCCGTTATCTAATTGGTATTTTTGATCGAAGGTCAATCCGCCTGCCAAGTGTACCCCTGCAACGAAAGAGGCGAGGCACGCAAAATAGTCGATGTTTTCTTTTTTATAAAAGAAGTTGACAAACGAGCACACAAAATGATTTTTTTATTTATATAGTGGATATTGTCACACCGTTACTACACGTTATGGTTCATGAGGAATTGAGAAAAAGAATAAATTAATTTTAATTTTACATTTTTATAGGTGTTACAAATTCTGTTGGAATTATCATGGACTTGCAGTTTTATGGTACGAGCAAGGCTATAAGAGTTAATACTTTGTCATCTACAATCGTATTCTTCAGTGAAATCATAATGATAAGGGCCATAATTTTGTTTGCGTTGTACGACGGGCGAACACGTATTGAAAACGTTCTACGATATTTGAAGCAAATAGAAAAGGTTTTAGATAGTATATCCTAATTCTTTAATTCATTTTATTTTTTTAAATTCATTTTCAAAATTAAATATCCGTCCCACATAATTTAATTCTACCACCAAATCTAAACTTAAAATAAAACCGTGAACAGATTTTTTTGTATTTGGCTATGTTTATACACAATAATATGCACAATACCTAAACTATTTCGCTTCTTGTGATGGTTTGAGATGAACTCTGGGTAACGACAAAGAAAAGAATTGTTAAAAAACATGTGTGTAGTTCACACGCATTAGAAATGAAATCTTAAGAAACTTAAATTTCGAGAGAGTTAGACGAATGAGAGTATCAGGAGTAAGGATAATTACAGGATTTTCTCATTTTAAAATTGTTACCAAGTTTAAAAATTATTTTACATGTTATTTAATATGCTAGTATATATGCTATAATAATATTAATTATATTACATACTACAGTAATATATTACAGGCTCCAAGTTTTCAATTTCTTCATCGCAAGTACCTAAATATTTTCTAATCAATAAATTCGTCCTTAATCCTTACTACTTAATTTTTCTTAATTTTTTGTAGATTTTTTTTTTTTAAAAGTTCAAAAGTGTAATGGCTTGGGGTGGGTATAAATTTTTTTTTTAAAACCCGGGGTGGTTTTTTTAAAAAAAAAAATTATTTCTTGGGGTGGGTTTTTGTTGCACATTTTTTTTTTGGTTAAAGATACATAATCTCTATACATAATAGGAGACACTGTATACTGTATTCTATCTCATTCTCTCGCATAGACATATATGTTTGTCTCTTTTAAGTGTCGCTTTTTTGTTTCATCTAGTTGAAAATCACAACGATTCTAAAGAAGTTTTTACTTCAAAATAAATGCGTGAATGTGAGAAAAACGTTGCTAGGCTGTTTCTTTTTAGCATGCCGACGAAATTTTACCAATTTATTGGATGCGTATACGTGAAAATAGTGTACTATAGTAAAAAGTTGGGTAAGTGCTGAGCCAGATGCTGAGTGTGATCGGTGTAGATTTCAATATCATATTATTTTTACACGGCCAACTATATGTGACTCTGTTGCGTGTTACAAACTCCAGTAGTTACAGCAACTATATAAAAGAAAGCATTGCTGCAAGGAATAACAACTAAATGAAGAAACTAAAAAGAGGTCAATTATCTTTTTGACGAATGCAGATACTTTGCTTGTAGAAACGCAATTTTTATTAATTTCAGCAAGTTTGTAGAGAAACCTACCAGTTAACCTTCAAGGAGTATTGTAACTCCAGAAATATAAATAATATTATTTACATTTTTGTGGTAGTAACTGATTTACTTCGAATGTATTGGTTTAATGGATCTTTATATTGAAATATAAATTTATTTCTATTTATGTAAAATGATTTTATTGAATGTATATTATAACACAGTAAAGTTATAGCCTTTATACTTCCCACAATTGGGCACGCGCCTTCTCTTATTTCTGAAAGGTTTATGGAGCAATATGTTTTGTGTCCATACTCCAGTACCATCCTACATCACCCTCCTTCTTATTTAAATAATTTTGTTACAGTTGTACGCTTGTTATTATTGTCCTCTACAAATTCACCGTAGACAATCCGTTTTAACCTTCAAAAATCTACTCAAAGCTATATTTCTCATGACACTTCTCATCCCTACTTCTACTTATCTATCCCACTTTCCTCAAATGTATTAATCATGTGTTTTTATTTTTATTTTATTTTTTAACTTATTTGTAAAATTTATGTACAGCTCTCACTTAGTCATTAGTTATGAACAATTCTTTACGTAATTAGGTTATCTGGAATAAATTGCTTGCAGAGAGCTAAGACCGCTTATTATAACTTCACTTTTTATTTGATTTCGTTTATGTTTTGGTCTGTATTGGTGCATAATAAAGATGAATATAATAATTGATTGATTTATTAATTGAAAACCGCATCAAAACTTTACAATTTTATAATGGTTTTATGCCCTATTACTGGGGTGGAGTATCTGTAACCATTAAGCTGAAATAAATAAATATATATTTTATTCCCTCATAGGTATTTTACACCCTTTGCCTCCCTTTGTAACCGTTTTTTTTTTAAAAACGCAAAATATGTATTCATTTATTTTATTTGCAGAGTTCTTTCAGTAAGGTCGAGTAACATCTTATTTCAACCAAAAAAAAAAATACCTAAATCTCATAATCGTTTGGGAAATGCAACTTATTAATATCGATACCAGAAATTTCAATTGTTGTAAAGAACAAAATGCGAGTTTTCAGTACAGCCAAAAAACGAAAAATAAAATTGTTTTTGTCTAATAACTTTTAAACAAAGTAAGTACTATATTCATGATGTCAAAAGAGACCCCAACTATTTTTACGAGTTCTATCCCCATAAATTAACAAAATTAAATATTATAACGAAAATGAGAGAAATTAAACTGAAGTACTTTACAGCCTCGAAAAATTAGTTATGATAAATTCAAATGAGTAGCATAGGACTAATCTTGATCACCAATGGGTGGTAGTACAAGTCGATTAAATCAGAGCCTAAGAGGGTAAAAGGAACAAAAAACTAAGGATCTCGGTACTACTTACTTAATGTGTAATATTAAGCGATATAAAAGGATTTTTGTAATATTTTTTATTTATTAACCAAAATATATAATGAAAAAATGTTATTCTAATGGAAAGTCAAAATTTAAACGAAACGTGATGTTATTTTTTATTTAAATCGCAAGTAATCGTTGCTGTGCTGAAAAACAAACCAATTTTTAGAATAATTTTAGTTTCATTTCAGTTTTAGTTTTTTTCACAATGATTAATGAAACTTGAACAATATTTATCAAAACAATCTTAAACTTAATAACAAAATTGAAATAACTGAAATAGCAACATATTTTGCCCACCAGCATTCAATAATCAAACTATTGACACTCTTAAATATAAATAAATGATATGTAACTTCAGTCTTTTAAAATTACTTCTAATAAAACTTACACAATTAATATTTTTTCAAAACGTAATGATCTTTTATACGTACTCTTATAACGTAACGATATTTTATATTTTGTATTAATAAAATTAAAATAACCACTAAATATATTACTGAAATAATAATTTTTGTCTCAAAATTCAATACACCCAGTGGGGTTATGGATCAGTGTCCCGCTGGGAGCATTGGATAAACATTTTGAAAGTAAATTGTCGATATCGTCTTCATCGTCAGTTTCAGGAAGAATGTCTTTAACAGTTCCTAAAGACGGTAGATCTAAATACTCCTTATGAAAAATATAGTTAACTGCTTTCTACACATTTTTTTCTTTTGATTGGAATCGGTTGTGCACATCTTACGATCCAGTCTTTTCAACGTTGAACATCTAGAGTCCAGAAATATTTAAATAGGCTCATTCTTCTACTCTTTGATACTTCGTAACATTTTCTAGCACGTATGCAAGGTAAGCAATGGATTTTTTACTGACTTCTCTTCTATTATATACTTCCTGATCTTATTTCATAGAACTTACCAGCATTTTTGCGTTATTTCCTAAGCTTACATTTTTTTTCTCCTTTTAGTTTTGCCTTTAATTAACTTTTCGATGGTAATGGCTCCTCTTTTGGTTCTTATCTATTACTTTTTGCTTTTTCTAGTACACTTTTTTATCCTCACTATTATTTAAATTCTCGGACTCATTCATATTCCAAAGATCGGAACTACCTGCTGAAAATTCTTCATTATCAGAAAGATAATCAACGAGGCATTTAAAAAAATATTACGAAATTTATTACTAGGTTTAGGGTGTTCAGGATTCATATCATAATCACTGGTGTCAGTTGTTGGATCAAAAAAATGTTGATAAGCGAAGGAGAACCCTTATGATCTTCTATATCCCTGCGTTCGTGCTCAGACTACGGTTTTCAAAGAAGTGTATTCCTGAGGTAGTTGAAATAATGTAGATTGGTCAACGTTGTCTGTAATTATTTCAGTGTGAGAAATGTCATGGGAATGATGCACCCGTGGTTGATGTATAACGTCAGGAGAAGTATTCTGAGTAATCTTGGCATGACCTGGATAACGTCAGTACTTCTTCAATAAGAGTAATCTCAGTGATCTCATTATTTCGGGTTTAGGCGCAAAGACAACATAACCCGGAGGCATGTGCTGAATAACGTCAGCGGTAAGTACCTCGTTAATAGAAGTGGCCTGAGAAACCTTCTTTATTTTATGTTCAGGTGCAAAGACAACATCACCCTGAGCATGTGCTGAATAACGTCAGCGGTAAGTACCTCGTTAATAGAAGTGGCCTGAGAAACCTTCTTTATTTTATGTTCAGGTGCAAAGACAACATCACTCGGAGGCATGTCCTGGATAACGTTAGCGGTAAGTACCTCGTCAATAGGATTAGTCTGAGTAATCTTCCTTGTTTCAGGTTCAGGCGCAAAGACAATATCATTCGGAGGTATGTCCTGGACAAAATAAGCGATAAGTACTTCATTAATAGGAGTAGTCTGAATGATCTTCGCTATTTCAGGTTCAGGTACAAAGGCAACATAACCCAGATGTATGTCCTGAATAACGTCAGCGGTTAGCACATTGTCAATAGGGGTAGTCGAAGTGATCTTCTTTATTTCAGGTTCACGTACAAAGGCAACATCACCCAGATGCTTGTCCAAGACATTAAAAGTAAGTACGTGAAGGACACTGAAAAACAAACGACCTTTACGCCCTAATTATGTAAGGTAAAGCAAAGCATGAATTAAGTCGTAAGTGTTTAAATTATCATAAAATGAGATATATATATATATATATATATATATATATATATATATATATATATATATATATAACTCATTTTCAGCAAAATGTCCTTTACGACATTTGAAATTTCCGGTATCGATATAATAGTTTTTCATAGAACGTTTGCACTCTCGTTTTTTCATGCAAACTTTGGAACCTCGTTTGAAAACCGTAAGAGTAAAGGAGATGGCCAAAAATTGTATGAACCTGTGCCCCAGACTTTACACAGATAAAATCTATGTCATTTGAACGTACAGATATAAAGAATTAGAAAAGTGCATGTAGCTACGCAGTAGTGGACAAAAGTTATGAATATTGTTACGAGCTTGAGGTTCGTGACAATAAAAATTGCCGATAAAATTACCTAAATTAACACTTTAATTTACTTTACACAAATTAAAACTAAAAACACTAATAATTAAACACACTAATTCACTTAATTCCGCTCCGAAGCTTCGCTTGTGTCGCCGAGTTCAACTCTGCCCCGATCGCATCTTGCAGCGCCTATTTATATAATTAGCAAAGAAGCGTCCCGAACATTCAAGTAAATGCGCGCCAGGCAACGAGTATTCGAGTGTAGATTTTCCAGAAACTTAGTTCTTCGGGTGGCGCTGTCGGTCGAAATATTTGTGATGTCATTTACTCAATGCTCCCCTCGCTCTCGTTCCTGACACTAGATGGCGCTAGTGTATCGTCGACTTGAGCGCGTAACACTGCCCCATCCTAAGACATGCTCGGCCCGAGCATTATCGGCCCCATAATAACGCGCCAAGCGATTCACATGGACGATCTTAGGAGTCCCTCTTGCGCCTTTCTGTAACGGCTCCGCAATGTCAAGGGCTGTCCTATCCCGTGGTGCACCAACATTGTACAATTTCGGTGCTCCTCTACTACGTGTCTGAGGTCCCCGCACGGCAGCACAACTTGTACATGTACGACACCAATCCTCGACATCGTCACGATAATGGACCCAGTAAAACTGTTCTCGGACCTTCAGTAGAGTTCGTTTAACTCCCAGATGGACTCTTGAACGACCATTATGGCACAGCTTTAGAACATTTGGCACTTTAGCTTTAGGGACAACCATTTGCAAACGACAGCTGTCTCTTCGACCATTGTCCCATTTACGGCACGGGACTCTATCCTGAATCAGCAAGCTGTCCCATTGGGTCCAATAGCTTTTCGTGGTTGAACTCATCGCTGAGACGTCCCTCCACTTAGGCTTGGTAGCACGGGCCTTCATCCATCCCAGAATCGGCTTGATGTCCGGATCTTCCTGCTGTGCATGTCGTAGGCTGTCCTTCCACCCGTTGCTGAGGTGGTCTGTCCTGAGCATCCTCACGGGTACCACTTCCTTACTCTCTTGCCTACTACAATGGTTGCAATTTTCAGGAGAAGGTCTTCTTGTCAATGCATCTGCGTTGCTGTGAGATTTCCCGCTGCAGTGTCTGATAGTAAAGTCGTATTCCTGCTGCTGCTGGACGGTGCTGTTAGCCGCACTTCCTTTCTGAGACCGTTCACCTTCCCTTCCTAGGGTGTGCTTAGGGCAGTTGGACTGAAGATGCCCCCTTTCCCCACAGCCATAGCACCTAGGGCTGTATCTTTTATTGTGGTCGCGAACCGTAACTGCTGTAACCTCCCTAGCGTGAGGTGAACGATGATCCTGTCGCCGCCAGGCAGTGCCGTTAGCTGCACTACCCTCTCGAGATCGATCAACTCTCCTTTCCACGGTTCGTTTAGGGCAGCTGGATCGAAGATGGCCCTTTTCCCCACAGCCATAGCACCTTGGGCTGTATCCATGGTTGCGGTCGCGAACTGTAGCTGCTGCGACCTCCCTGACGCGATGGAAACGATGATCCTGCCGCACGGCTTCCACTTCCAGTGCATGGGCCAAGGCGTCCTTAAGCGTCTCGTGGTGCCCGAGCCTCACAGCAGCTCTGACTTCCAGGTCGCGGATGCCGTCGATGAATGTCTGCACCAGGTTCCCTGTCAATGAGCGCAGGTACAGACCGGTATGCTTTTCGCACCAGCTTCTCCACCTCTAGAGCCCACTGCTGCAGGTTTTCGTTGATGCGCTGCACGCGATCTTTAAGCTGCGCACGAAAGACGTGTTCCAGGTGAGCGTCGCCATATCTCGCCTCCAATGCCTCAAGGAGTTGCTCATAAGTCACTTCCTCACCGAGAGCTTCCAGAACTGTTAGGGCCTGGTCGCGCAGGCCTAGTGTGAGAGCAGTCATGGCCTGACTTTTATTCCAGCCGTTCGCCTTCATAACAGCCTCGAACTGGATTTTGTAGGCTGACCAGGAAGAAGTCCCGTCGAATGGTGGCACCTTGAACCCACGTAGCGAAGGTGCAGTAGCTACTACGGGAGCTGTAGTTCCATCCCCAAGTTTGAGTTCATCCAGTGTTTTCTTAACTTGGTTGATTTGGGTCTCAGCTTCCGACAGGCGGTTATCATGTTGAGCAACCTTATCCTTCACCTCCCTTATCTCTTTCCCGAAGGTAGCGTGAAGGTCCTTCATGAGAAGCATCTGTTCTCCCTGGCCGCCCCGTAGCCTGTTCCTCCTGTCGGCGAGCCTGTTCCTCCTGTCGGCGAGCCTGTCCCTCCTGTCGGTGAGCCTGTTCCTGTAGCATCGCCATCAGAGCACCTAAGTCAGGTGCTGCAGATGTAGGAGCTACTGACGGGCCCGCAGCCTCCGTGGCTGGCATTTGGCCCTCCGACGTCTGCGGCGTTGCACCACCAAATCTCCTCTGGTCCGTCTCCTGCTGGCGTTGACTTCGGGTACGGACACCCTCCATCTCGTCCTTAGGTAAAATCGGCATGATTTTATCCCACTTCTGACACCAATTGTTACGAGCTTGAGGTTCGTGACAATAAAAATTGCCGATAAAATTACCTAAATTAACACTTTAATTTACTTTACGCAAATTAAAACTAAAAACACTAATAATTAAACACACTAATTCACTTAATTCCGCTCCGAAGCTTCGCTTGTGTCGACGAGTTCAACTCTGCCCCGATCGCATCTTGCAGCGCCTATTTATATAATTAGCAAAGAAGCGTCCCGAACATTCAAGTAAATGCGCGCCAGGCAACGAGTATTCGAGTGTAGATTTTCCAGAAACTTAGTTCTTCGGGTGGCGCTGTCGGTCGAAAGATTTGTGATGTCATTTACTCAATGCTCCCCTCGCTCTCGTTCCTGACACTAGATGACGCTAGTGTATCGTCGACTTGAGCGCGTAACAATATTTTAAACAATTGATTTTGGCAGTCGGTTTTTATCATCATTACACAATGTAGACATTAATAAAGTTTCAATTCATGAGTGTTATGTAGGTTAATGTACATGCATGATGATTAGGATGTATCCTAACTGGTTTAGCTAAAGAAAACAAGGACAGTAGTTTTTTTCAGTCTTTGAAATTATTATTTGTAACTATTTTTGTAACATAATTATATTTATACTATTATTGATCGAAGTATATTAGACAGAAATTAATTAAACTTATGTATTACACCGTTTATAATTAGTGGCGCACTCGCTTGGGGCTACGGCACTTGTTAAATAAAAGTAAAATACGATAACACACAAATACGAAGGAAAGGCTTTCATATATCATATACCTACCGAGTGACACTTTGACTATTTTAATGATTGACGGACGGGTTCAGTATTGCAAGTATTAAAGTAAAATAACCCTATCCTATAATGAAAGTATTATATGGCCACAATAAAGGTGCTATAGAGTGACTTCAAAGAGAAGAAATCACTTTAAATACTTTTAAACTTGATTATTTTACAACAGTTGCAATGAAATGTTAACAGTTATTCAAAATTCTTTTTTTATTTTATTTAAATTAATAGCAATACTATTTTTGTACAGCTTGTGGCACAATTTGGCCATCTCATTTTTGGAAAAATTAGAAATGGTAAAATAATGGTAGGTAATAAAATGGAAATGGCAAAGGGGCTATTTTTATTTTCATTCAAGAGTATCTGCACCACTTTTGAATTAAAATAACATTAATTATTTTTCCCCCAATTAGGAATTGTTCATAACATCTATTTTTATCTATTTTATTTACTGACTACTTGCAGATAGTTTCTAGTCACTTGCACCGTAAAACGTTTCGCACATACTGTTATACCCCATTTCACCGTCTTAGAGCTTGAACTTTCCAAAATCCTTTCTTAGTGAATGCCTACGTTACAAAGCCTGCAACAGTCCCAATTTCAGACTTCTTCTACCTCTAGCGATTTTTGCTATAATATGGTTTTGATATGTTTTTGCTGTATATAGATTATACGTATTAGTTAGATGCGCACAAAATACATGCATATAATATCGTAGACAGCATTTTTTTCATATGTCAGTCATCCGATTACGAACTTAGTACGAAGTTATTCCTACATATATCTACCGACGGTATAGGTGTAAGACTCCTTTTTCCCTGGATTTCCATCTGGGTTGGAACCATCCTGTTGTATTTATTTCATTAAGTAACACAATTGATTTCTGTGTTGAATGGTATAAGAACCAGAATAATTACAAGCTTTTAGGCATTCGGTACTTTCATTGCTGAACGTTGAATGCAGGTGTACATGCCCCCCCCCCCCGAACGGGTTCCCGCCTTGTCGTGGCGGGGGGGGCTTAGAAGCCGTGGCTTGGTCACCCACGGCGAAACAAAGAGGAACCCATATGGCTGGTCCGAGGAGGAGGGCCGGCCCGAGGTGGCCACTCCGAGTGGGCTTGGGAAGCCCACTTCGGATGTGTGTTGGTGGACTGCGGTGAGAGGTGTGTCCTCCCCACCTACCGCTGCAGCCGAGGTGGAGTCGCGGAGGAAGAGGAGTGTTGGTATGGCGATGCGCCACTCGCCCTATCCTCCGCGACTCAAACGGGGCCGCACCGTTGATGCGGTGGTGGTGGGGCTGCGGGGGGAGAGGATTGTCGGTATTGCGAGGCGCCGCTCTCCCTACCCTCCGCAGCCGAATCTTGGTTGGCGGCGGAGCCATAGACCAGATCCGCCGCTGGGGTCGGGAAGGCTAGTACTTCTAATTGCTTGTTTTTCCTGGCCCCATGGCCTTCTTGCATTGGACGCGGGGGGCATCCTTTGCGCAGATGTGATTAGAGGCCGAGAAGGAAGGCGCGCCATGTGTTCTGGTGCGCCTTACCTGTGAAGGAGAACGGGGGAGGGAGTATTCCGCTCCCGAGGAGGTGCTGCCATAGGGCGGCAGGCGCTGGTGGGGCTGTGGATGTGTGCAAAAGTGTTCCCGTGGCCCTGCCAATAAGCGACAAAGGTGGAACACCATGCGGTTTTAGTCGGTGCGAATCCGACATAACCCGTCCTTGCCCCCGCGAGGCGGGTATGCGTAGGCATTTCCCCATGTAAAAAAAAAAGGTGTACATGGGCCGCAGTAACTACTTACCATTAAGTTAATTATAAGGTCGTATGTCACTCAAATTAAAAAAAATCCTATTTTTAAATAAGCATTAAATATTTCAGGTGAACAAGGTCATGCGGTGTGATCTTACACATCAACAGCTAAAAGAGAAAATGTTGATCGCTGGAGTGATTATGTTTTTTGTTACTACATATTTGACTCACATTGCGAGTTTTGTATTTCACACATTTCAAGCTTATGCAAGTAAAAAAGAAAGTATGTTGGTTACAAATAAAACATCTTGAAATACTTAATCTGTGTATACTAAAAAAGTTAATTTGTTACAGTGATAACGTTCTACCTATATGAATTCCATATGTTCGAAGATATCATGGCTCTGCTTCTTCTTATGCAGGTTGCTTCTTTTGTTATTCAACTACATTCTGCGTTTAAACAAATGAATAACCGCCTTGGAGAAGTCCTTCACATGCAGGAGCTAATCAGTTTGTATACCAATTTCCGTTTAATTATTATCTATACGTGGTGGAGCCACGCTGCAGCTATATTATGGTTGTAGCACGAATGGGTCGGTTCGACCAGGGGAGGAACACGCTCTCACAGAATACCAGCGTAAAATAGCAGCCTAATTTAATTTAAAATTAATAGCAGTAGCTGCGTTTCGCACGGTGAGTGTAGAGATCCGGAGACCCTTTTTACTGGAAACGAGGCATTCCATCTTAGCCCTCAGAGTTGACAACGCATATACGTTTTGATTCTTAACGGAGGATAAATGTAGATGACTATAGGTCACAGCATTCACCTTCCGTCAGGTTGACTGTGTGCTCGTTTGTTACCCTTATTCTATTTATAAAAATCCTGTTTCGATAAAACTATATATATGCGGATTTTATCGCGTTTAATTAAATTATTTTAACTTAGTTTTAATTCCCGACGTTTCGGGTGCTTTACAACAACCACGGTCACGGTGGGGACTGAGATATTTGATATCCTAATGTCGTAGTTAGCCCGGCTACCTTCAATTTTTGAATGTAAATTTTTGTTCCGATTTACGCAGAAATGAAACAAAAAATTGGATCAAAAATCAATATTTTAAAACCTAAGGCAGCCGTAAGTATATATATATATATATATATATATATATATATATATAGTTTTATTCAATGTATATTTCGGTTTTTATATGATACTTTTTATACATATTTTATATTATGATATATATATAGTCCACTACAATAGGGGCTTATCATATTACAACCCTTCACATTTTTGGCCTATGTCGGTTACTCTGGTTTTACTGCGCATGTCCTCATTTCTAAGTTTATCACGCAGAGAAACCCCGAGTGTCTTCATACGACCAGTAGTGAAGGATCATACCTCAGATCCATAAGTCATCGCTGTGAACACGCACAACGTTCAAATTTTGAGGTATACCAGACGAGAAGATGTGTCGTAATTTCCCGAACGCTGCCCAGCTGAGTTGAATCCTTCGATTGACCTCTCGATTGAAGTTGGACTTACTTAGTCGGACTATTTGTCCCAGATAAACATACTCGTCAACAACTTTGAGCTTAGTTGTTGACGAGTACTACTATACTCGTCAATAACTTCGATATTGACGAGTGTGTTGAAATGTGTGATATAGAAGTTACACATGACCTTTATTTTACAAATGTTAATTTTAAGTCCTATTAGTTGGAAGGCACTCCAAAGGTCAATAATTTTTAATAAAAAGTAAATATCAACTTCAAAAAACGAAAAAAATCAAAATAATTTCACGTTATTAAGTTGGAGCTTAATTTTCCTATACACTATCTTAGCACCGACTTCATTATGTGAAATTATTTTATTCTTCTTCCTACTAATTGAATTCTACTTTGCATGACTTTTCTTTGTGTTTTTTCAAATCGAACATTTTGCAGCCAGAAAATCTCTACGTGATATTTCTAATTCTTACGTTCGGTTATGCTTCGTGGCGAGAAATTTTAATGAAGAAAACGGATTTATGATTTTCGTCACGTTTACGTCTATAGTAACGTCCATATTTATCAACAGTTACTTCTTGATATTAATCTTATGCGTATCAGGTAAATATTATCACAAGTGCAAAATATAAATAGTTTAATAATATTATGGTACGTAAATGTATACGAAGATTTGTAAAAAAAAAGTTATATTGAACTGATATTGAAACGTTAAAAAATTATGAGTACGTACTTTTTGGTTACAAATACGATAACGTTAAAACCTATCAATAGTTCACTGCTGAACATAGATCTCCCTCATAGATTACATCATAAAGGGGAGGGTTTCTTTAGTACTGTTGCGCGCCTAAGTTGACGTCATGTTCCCGGCACTAGCGCCATCTAGTGTCGGGGACCAGAGCGAGGAGGGCTTCCTAGAAAATGTCAATTTTGACTTTCAACCAACAGCGCCATCTAGTATCGAACTGAAGAACTAAGTTTCTAAAAGCCCCACACTCGAACTTTCGGCACCTGGTCGGTTGGCGCACGTATTTACTTGAATATTCTGGATGTTTCGGTGAAAAGGTGTACTTAAAGGCTCTGCAATACGCGATCGGGGCAGTATTGAATTTGGCGAAACAAGTGAAGCTTCGGAGCGAAATAAAGTCAATCAGTGTGATTAATTATTAGTGTTTTAAGTTTTAATTGGTGTCAAGAAAATTAAAGTGTAAATTTTGGTAATTCAAACGGCAGTTTTTATTGTCACGAACTTCAAGCTCGTAACAGTACATACCCGGGTTTATTTTTTTTTTTATCTTTCGGAAGATGCTGCTGCCTATATCAACTTTCTGTTTTTTCTTTAAAGTTCTAATAAAATAAATAGGTCGTAATTATTATTGTCATGATTGTTAATACTATATCTGAGTTTAGAAGATGTGGGTATATTTCACGAACTTTCCAAGGCCCTTCGACTGCTTAATATATAACAGACAATCAGGAAGCTACGGAATTATGACGTAAAGAACACAGCGCTTAATATTATAATTCATAATTAAATAAAAAGACGCAGTAATTTACCATCAATAATAAAAGCTAATTGCGAAACCGCTTTACGTATACTTCGCCGGATTCAGTTAAATTTGAACGATTCTTAAGGTTCCGTGTTTAAATTACGGGGTCTGCACTACCTGCCTTCTCCATACCGCCTCTTTACTATTTCTTCGCATCACCTTTTATATATTTTAAAACATTTGGTTTTGATAGCGCTTGTTTTGTATAGATTTATATTATACTTATATTTTTAGACGGCGCAGTGAATCAATTGTTCACAATATTTTTGATAACTATCAGGTTTTTGAGTCACTTCACCAAACTATTAGTTTTGGTCGAACCCTGTCATCGAACACATGAAGAGGTACGTACTAATTTTGTCTTTTTTATTTTTCTGCTTAAAACCACTTATAATTATTAGAGGTAGACCGAATATTCGTTTTATATTCAGTATTCGGCATATTCGACAGCTTTACCGAATATTCGTATTCGGCCGAATATTCGGCTAAATCACCGAACATTCGTTTTCATAGTGTTCAATATATTGAAATGTACGAATTGAGTAATGTGATGTCTTTTAGTGTTAAAAGTATATATTATTTATAGGTTAAATGTACTTACTCTAGAGTGCGTCAAATGCATAAATCTATACTTTTATATTTTTGAGGCACTGTAGATTTATTTCCGATTATGGCAAATAGAAACTTGATAAAATGTTTTTGGGATCAAACAAAGAAACATTACCGCCCGTATCCTCTGCATACGGCGTGTCTTACTCACTCACTAATTCGTTGATAGTGAGTAAAGCCGCGCTCGCTCCCAATAAAATATCGACGCTATTGTTATAACAAATATTTCCTGTTTTTCTGTTTTATTTGTGTTGTTGTTGTTGGTTTTTATAATAATATGGATTACAAGGAAGCTTCGACTAGTGCTGTAACACCACCGAAGAAAGTGAGAAGAACTTGCTACTATAATGTTGACTGGGAATCGCGATTTTCTTAGTTACATAAATGTGACGAGGACAACACAAAGGGCTACTGCAAATTGTGTAAAACTACGTTGACAGTGACTTATGATGTCGTGAAAGCGTTAACACAGCACGCCACGTCAAAGCAGCACAAATATTCAGCAAGTGAAGCAGCCTTATCTCAGCAAATGAATTCTTTCTTTACTCCAAAAGGCAGCGCGCAAAGTGAAAAAGTTAGCATTTCCGAATTGGATAAAGTTTATCATATGAAGTACCACATTTTATATGTTGCTCAAGATTGCTCATTAAAAGTATTAAAACAAGTTATTACCGATTCAGAAATCGTGAAGAAATGACTGGAGGACGCACTAAATGTACTGCTTTGATAAACCAAGTTTTATATCCATATTCAATGGTACTTGTGCAAAAGGATTTGAAGAATGAAGTTCCGTTCTCCATCGCTACCGATGCTTCTAATAAAAGGAAACAGAAAATTCTTTCCAGTTGCGATTCAATATTTTTACCAAAAGACGGTATTTGTCATAAAATTTTGGACTTTTACGAAGACTCATTCGAAGATTGACGATCTATTAAAGAAAAATTATGTCAAGTGTTGTAAAATTCATAGCTACCATGGAGTAGAGTAACAGCATATGGAGCGGACAATGCCTCTGTTAATTTCGGAGTTAATAATTCCGTTTTGCAAAAGATTAAGTCTGAAGAAAATTATGAAATAATAGCTGCTCACTGCAATGATCACATATTTCATAACTGCGCAAAAAATGCTTTGAAAATAATGCCTGTTGATGTCAAAAATATAGTAATGAAAGTATTTGCAGAATTTTCTTGTTCTGCAAAGAAACGAGAAGAGTTAAAGGAGTGCTTTGATTTCTTCGAGAGCCAATACAAAGATGTAAGACTTCACGTACCTACAAGGTGGCTCGTTGTGGGGACCATTGAAAAAATACTTTTTAGAGTAAGGTTCTGACAACTGCCCAAGGGCTCTTTGGGCTATCTTATTAGATCAAGAAGATCAAATTACAATTATATTTGTATTTCACTCATAATTTTAAAGCTTCTTTTCAAGAAATTTTGCTGCTGTTAGAAAAACATACCACAACAGCATATACTATACATAACGTAATGGTGAAATTTCGGGACATTATTCTAAAGAAAATAAGTGACACCTATTGTGGAATGAAAGTGCATATGGCATTAAGAAACGGCTACCTTTCAGATGATCAAGTAAAATAATTTACAACAAATCTCTAAGTGTTACCAAAGAGCATTAGCTTATATAGAGAAGTGGTATCCCTTCGATAATAACAATTATAAGACTTTTAATTGTTTAGATATCAAAGCCGGAAGACTCCCTACGCTTATTGCTTTTTTTAATTGATTGAGTTGTAGCCAATTAATTGATCCAGCGTGGAGATAACATGGAAGCAAACTCCTCCTGAAAGCATTTACGAAGAACTAGCTGCACTTCAAAGTGTTTTCTCTTCACTTGAAGGGAATTCGATTAATATGTGGTGCAAATTTTTTAACAACGAAGCGCGCCATATTTATTGTAAATCGTACAGTATGTGTGTAGTATTTCCGTATCTAATGCTTTTGTAGAACGAATATTCAGTGTCATGGGAAATGTATGGACCGATGATAGAAATCGTCTCGCCATACAAACTATAAAAAGTGAATTGTGCGTTTTCTTTAAAATGAATGTTAGTTGCACTGAATTTAAAGACGTCATCTCAGGCAATAAGACTATTAAATGCAGACTGGTCGAGTTCTAAATATATAAAAAAGGAGAATTGCTGTAGTTTAGTAAGTTTCCAGTACACAAAATACATTACAAAAGTACATTTAAGTATTTTTTTATTTTTGTATTTCTTTTTTTGTATACATTTTTTGTAAGAAATAAAAACTTGTCCGGTTTTTTCTTTGAACACATCTGGCATACCTAGATACAACTCGGAGTGCATCGTTGTAATCAAACCTGAGAAGTATAGCGCCATGTCTCGTACTTTCCACATAAGGGTTCCAAATAATGCTTCGTACGCCATATTGGACCAGTTGCCAATTCAAAATTTAAATCAGGGTGTATCTTACAAAATACTGTCCACAAATATTTAAATAAGATCAAATTCCGCAACATTTTTCTGGCTACTTTGCCAGATTTAAATATATACATAAATTATCTAATTTCTCACATACCATTATATAACTGGGTTACTGACAACTTCTTGGCAGGGCGTGATAGTCAAAATGCTACAAATTTGACCTCCGATCTGTATGGCCGAAAAAGATTTTTCAAAGTCGCCCAGAATTTCGTATTAAATTCTAAATAAAAATATAACCTTTCTTTCTATGCTTTCTTTTAAGTTTATTTATTTTCTTGAAGCTCCAATTAAGCTAATACAATTATAAAAAGTATTTTTTATTTATTTATTCTGAACAATACAAATTGTGTTGAATTCATGCTAAAATACAATTAAAATGCTTAACAACCAAATTTACAATTATATAAAATTACAATTAGTATAAAATTAATATATATAGAATAGAATGTGATAGCATTAGCAATTAGAAACTCGTCAACACTTATTTCCTTTTTTTACACTTTATGTATCATAAAATGTTACGCACTTCATAAAATTACTATGACATGAGACATAAAAATATTTAAAAAACATGCATATGTAATCAACTATTCAAAAAGGTGATACTATCAATGTGAAGTCAACGAATAATAATAATATAAGGGTCTTTTACCTAACGCAGGTAGAGAACGGAAAAGAATGATTGCTCTTAGACTACGTTCAGATGACAAGCGCTAAACGCGCGTTTTGATAACGCGCTTACAACTACATCAGTTTTATTCAGGCCGTACACATGCTAACGCTGCGCTAGCGCTCGACAGTTGTCAACGCGCGTCAACTCGCGCTTTGAGATCATTGATTTTCTACGTTACCGTTCAGTTGAGCGCGCGCTTTTGATGCGGAAATTCGTATTTTAGGGTTCGCTCAGTTCATCCAGAAATCGTCCGAAATGGAAACGGAAGCTTTTAATACTGAATTATTTATAGATGAAATAGAGAAACGTCCTGCGATATGGGACATGACAAGTAGCGTTTATTCAGATAAAAACTTAAGGAGACGGGCTTGGGAAGAACTCGTCCTTATATTCTGTGAAGGGGATGACAATGAAGAAAAGAAAAAAATATTATGTGAGTACATATATTTATATTTTCAATCAGTATGTGTTACAAATTATATCTAGCCAATCAACTTTTCCTTCGTTGATGAAATAATTTGTTAAATGTACTCGAACATTGTCCGCCTGTCGCAAAGCACGTCCGGTATAATTTGAGACTAGATTTTCCATATGGAAGTGTATCTTCATAATTGTAGCCATCTCTCATTCTGACATAATTGTGTAGTGTACATATCGATTTTACGATCTTTTCTGCAAAACCGGTGTTAGCATTTAACAGCCTATGTAAAATACGCCATTTATTTCACATTATGCCAAAAGTACATTCGACATACCGGCGTGCTAATGTCAAGCGGTAATTAAATATTTTTTAGCATAAGTTAGTGACCTTCCCCCATAAGGCCGCATTAAATTTTCCATCATGGCAAAAGCTTCGTCAGCTACTATCACGTATGGCAACACTGTTGGTCTATTTTGTATTAACAATGCCTTTGGCTCAGGTAGTTTTAATGACCTTTCTGTGAGTTTTTTGTACAGTGAAGAATTCTTAAAAGTACCTGAGTCACTGTTATTACCGTAGGCACCTATGTCAACCCATACAAAACAATAGTTTGCATCCGCTAGCGCCAATAAAACTAGCGAATAATAATTTTTGTAGTTGTAATACATTGAACCCGAATGTTCAGGCTAGATTAACCGTATATGTTTCCCGTCCAAGGCTCCTAAACAATTGGGAAACTTTGAATTCTTTTCAAATATTGTGGATATTTCATACCACTTTTATTTCGTTGGTTCACTCATAACAATGGGTCTCAATTTTCTCCAAATAGTTTCACATACATGTGGTATTATAGTAGCTGCAGTAGATTTGCTAATTCTATAATCGTAGCTTAGCGTCCCAAGTGAACATCCTGTGGCCAAATATCTGGGAAAAAAACATAAAATCTTAATAGAAATATTTGAAAAGAGAAGAAGAGGCTAGTCAACTATTACTAAATTATGTTTTTTTCCAGCATCATCCCTGCAAAAGAATGGAAGAGTTTACGAGACAATTACATGAGAGAGGTAAAGAAAATTAAGACTGTTAAGTCTGGATCAGAAGCTTTGAAAAATTCCTCTCATATGCATTATAATAGACTACGATTTCTACAGGCATCTATAGCCAACAAAGATACAGAAAGTAGTTTCGATACAAATAATGCATCAGCTTCGCCAGAAGTTGCTAGTCCTCACTTTAAGAGTCCTACTACTCCAAGAAAAAAAACAAAAAATAAGTTCTCCTGACGAAAGATTTGCAAGCATATTAGAGCAAAGTTTAGCTCAGAAAAATTTTTTCGGAACCAAAAGATGACGATGAAGACAAGCTGTTTTGTTTGTCACTCGTTAAAGAGATTTAAAAAATCCCGGAATATAAACGACGTCGCAATAAAATTGACATTTATAATTTAATCTTGCAAAACCAAAACCTTCTAGGACCGCAACATAAGTCATTTGAAAATCAAAATTATCGTAACCCGTTACCACAATGAAGAAATTATTTGCCACAAGAGCAGCGTAGTCAAGCTTCTGTCGAAGGCTTTCAACAACATGACTGTAGATCACAGCAATCTAGTGTGCCAAATAATTTACCACATTGTGGTTATACTACAGCAATGGGATCTCTATCGCCAGTAGCACACACTCCATCGCCTGCACCAACCAACGCCAGCAGTGAATCGGAGATAGAGTTATTCTATGATTAACAAAATCTTTTTCCTTTTTTTTCTTTTGTTCCTAAGCAAGTATTGATTTATAAATTTGCCTCTTGATTAATAAAAAACTTACCTCAATCTAATTATGAGTTTTCTTCTGGTGAAATACTATATCGCACAGCGTTTTTACTTGCTACGAGTTCATCGTTTATGAGAGCCAGTAAGTCATCAAATGACTTGATGGACATTCTGAAGTAGTTAAAAAATTTGTGTTCGAATTGCCTTAACTTAGGATACAAAATTATATACTGGCTTTCAGTCAGCCTGTATGAAAAAATTGGGTGGACCCAATATCTCCGTCTTCCGTTGCGTCGTTTCTGCCGTCGATAAAAAATCACCGCTAAAACTGTTTCTACGTCCATCTTCGATAAATGTAGAACTCAAATGAGCCAGGCCAGGGCGGCCGCGGCAACGCGCGTGTAACGCCTGACAAGCGCGCACCATGTGAACACTATACAAAACTTTTACGCGCGTTCAACGCCCGTTGAGCGCTTGTTATCTGAACGTAGCCTTACGCTTCGCATACACCAATGAATTATACAACACTATAGTACTGGGCGTTTTATTTAGAAACATTTTTAAAAAACAGTTTGTCAAAGAAAAATGAACGAACAGTTTC